TGCTAATTCCTGTGCTTTTTGAGGGCTCTGTGGTACAGATCACGTTGCGTTTCAGGTTTCTCTCATGGTGTTTGGGACTTGGCTTTCTCAGTTTTGCAATCGGTTGCCACTTGCTGTACTACTTTCATAAAAAATTACCTATTTGAGAGGCAGAGAGACAGAGACATACATACAGACAGAGATCTGCTATCGGATGATTTACTCCCGCAAAGCCTGCAGTGGCCAGAGCTTAGGTTGGACACCAGGAACCCAATACAGGATTCCCACATGAGTGGCAGGAACCCAATTACTTGAGCCATCATTGCTACCTCTCAGGGTAGACATTAGCAGGAAGCTGGAGTCAGGAGCAAACCTGAGTACCAAAGGTAGCCATTCCCATGTGGGACACAGGCGTACACTCCCATATGGGACACAGGTGTATGCTCCCATGTGGACGGAGGAACACTCCCATGTGGGACACAGGTGTACTAATGGCATCTTAACTACCTTGCTAAACACCTGCCCTTCTTCCACAGTTTTCCAGCTTATACAATCTCTCTGCTCTTGCCCCCTCTCCTGTTCTCCGTGTCTGCCTAAAACTCCTCTTATTGAAGTTTTGGTAGATTTCAGGAAGGAGCAAAATGTGATACATAAATGCAGATAGGTTACATTAACTCACTACTTATGGGTTAGCAGGACTAGAAAAACGTGATGAAAACTAATAGTGGCATTTTCTTTTTTTAAAAAATATTTTATTTATTTGAAAAAGTTACAGAGAGAAGTAGAGCCAGAGAGAGAGAGAGAGAGCAAGAGCTGTCCTCCATCTGCTGTTTCACTCCCCAAATGCCCGCAATGGCCAGAGCTGAGCTGATCTGAAGCCAGGAGCTGGAAGCTTCTTCCAGGTCTTCCACATGAGTGCAGGGGCCCAAGGACTTGGGCCATCTTCTACTGCTTTCCCAGGCCATAGCAGAGAGCTGGATTGGAAGAGAAGCAGCCGGGACTCGAACTGGGGCCCATATGGGACATAAGCACTACAAGTGGTGGCTTTACCCACTACACCAGAGCACCGGCCCCAGTAGTGGCATTTTCTAAGGATCTGAATTAAAATTAATCATGCTGAGCAGAAAACAATTTTGAAACTGTCATATTTGTATACTCCCTAAAACTTTTTAAAAAAAGATTTATTTATTATTTGAAAGGCAGAGTTAGAGAGAAGGAGAGAGGGAGGGAGAGAGAGAGAGAGAGTGCACGAGAGAGAGAGAGAGAAGACAGAGAGAGAGAAAAAGAAAGAGCGAGAGCGAGTGAGAGAGAGAGTGAAAGAACTCATCCATTGGTTCACTCCCCGAATGGCTGCAATGGTTGGGACTAGGCCAGGCAGAAACCAGAATCAGGATCTCCATCTGAGTCTCCCATGTGTATGCAAACTTAAACCATCTTCCACTGCTTTTAGCAGGGAACTGGGTCAGAAGTGGAACACCTGGAACATAAACTGGTGCTCATATGGGATACTGGCGTCACAGGCAGCAGCTTTACCCACTGTGCCACATAGCCAGCCTCTAAAACTTTTTCCAATCATGAAATATATTAGAGAGCCATATTCGGGGACATTCTACTTAGTGAAGATGCAAAAAGTACGCACCCTCCCTAACCTGACCACTGGGCATCTTGGGACAGAACTAAATGGTGGCCCCAGGACAGCATGCGCTCTCAGTAACACACACGTTTCCTTCACCACCGCCTCTGTCTCCCAGCACCAACCTCCTTCCTTGATGTGCTGTGGATTCAAGACCAGACACTAACAATAGCTCCTGTCTCCTACGTTCTCTGAAATTTCTCTACGGTCTCTCCTCACCAAGATCTAACTGAAACCTTGCTTTCCCAATGAAAATGGTGACTACTTTCTCTCCCACCTTGTCATTCCTCATAGGATAGCTGTCCTCACCAGGGTTCTCAGTGATCCTGACCTACTGGTGTCCACACCCTGAGTAGTTGAATCCCTCAGCGAAGCGGAGCCGACCGCTGGACTCCAAGAGAATGCGGTGTAAGTGACAGCGTGGAACTTCCGAGGTTAGGTCATAAAAGGCAGGCTCACACGTTCTGAGGGAAGCCACTGCTTGGCCATGAAGACTTGAGCAGCCCCATGCAGAAACCCATGTGTGTGCTGAGCCCCCAAACCAACAGCCAGTGCCAGCTTACTGGCCAAGTAAGTGAGACACTTTTTTCTTTTTTCCTTTTTATTTAAGATTTTTTAAAAATTTATTTGACAGGTAGAGTTACAGACAGTGACATAGAGAGACAGAGGGAAAGGTCTTCCTTCCGCTGGTTCACCCCCCAAACGGCTGCAACAGCTGGCGCTGCGCTGATCCGAAGCCAGGAGCCAGGTGCTTCTTCCAGGTCTCCCCATGCGGGTGCAGGGGCCCAAGGACTTGGGCCATCCTCCACTGCCTTCCCAGGCCACAGCAGAGAGCAGCTGGACTGGAAGAGGAGCAACTGGGACTAGAACCTGGTGCACACATGGGATGCCAGCGCCACAGGCAGAGGACTAACCCAGTGCGCCACGGTGCCGGCCCCACTTTTTTCTTTTTTAAGATTTTTATTTTCATTTATTTATTTGAGAGGTAGAGTTACAGACATTGAGAAGGAGAGACAGAGAGAGAGGTCTTCCATCCGCTGGTTCACTCCCCAGATGGCTGCAATGGCCGGAGTTGTGCTAATCCAAAGGCAGGAGCCAGGAGATTCTTCTGGGTCTCTTGCATTGGAACAGGGGCCCAAGGACTTGGGCCATCTTGAGCTGGATCGAAAGAGGAGCAGCCAGGACTTGAACTGGTGCCTATATGGAATGCCGGCATCGTAAGTGGAGCATTAACCTACTTCGCCACAGAGCCAGCCCCATGAGACACTTTGGAAGAGGGTCCTCCAGCCTCAGTCAGGCCTGATGACTGGAGCAGCACACTACTACTCAGGGCAACTTCATGGGAGACAGAACTCCTGACTCAAACTGCTCCAACCACAGAAACTATGAGAGAAAACTCATGATGGTTCTTCCTTCCAGTTACTCTGGTTTTGGGTGGTTTGCACGAAGCTCCAGTAACTAGAGAACTGATTAGATTTACACACCCTTAATCCTAATACTTTTCATTGTCCTTCACACTCTTTTTTTTTTTTTTTAAAGATTTGTTTTATTTGAAAGGCAGAGTTTCAGAGAGGCTGAGGCAGAAGATAGAGAGAGAGAGAGAGAGAGAGAGAGAGAGGACTTGCATCCGATGGTTCACTCCCCAAATGGCCACAACTGCCAGAGCTGGGCAGATCCGAAGCCAGGAGCCAGGAACTTCTTCCAGGTCTCCCACACAGGTGCAGGGGCCCAAGGACTTGGGCCATCTTCCACTGCTTTCCCAGTCCATAACAGAGAGCTGGATCAGAAGTGGAGCAGCTGGGACTCGAACCGGCACCCATTTGGGATGCTGGCACTGCAGGCGGTGGCTTTACCCGCTAAGCCACAGTGCTGGTCCCCCTTCACACTCTTAAAACCTTACTTTGCCTATATTACAGGGACAATCATTATTGCACACACTTGCATGCATACTCATCACTCTTCCTCCTTCTGTGATTTACCATATTCACCTGGTAAAAACCAATCCTAATTAAATCCAACTTTGTTGATTCTGTATTTGCACTTATGCAACTGCAAAAGACAACAAACCAAAAAACACCACACACAGCTGTGCAGGCCAGTTTCACTTTATTCTTTTGACCAGTTATAGTAATTTTAAAAGATTCATTTATTTACTTGAGAGGCAGAGTTACAGAGAGAGAAGTTTTCCATTGCTGATTCACTCCCTAAACAGGCACAATGGCTGGAGGTCTGCTGATCTGAAGCCAGGAGCCAGGAGTTTCTTCCAGGTCTCCCAAGTGGGTGCAAAGTCCCAAGGACATAGGCCATCTTCCACTGCTTTCCCAGGCCATGGCAGAGAGCTGTATCGGAAGTGGAGCAGCTAGGACTTGAACCGGCACCCATATGTGATGCCAGCACTGCAGGTGGCGGCCTTATCCACTATGCCACAGCACCGACCCTGAATAAATGCATCTTTAAAAAAAATTACCAAATAGCAGTATACTCTCTTTTAAATACATTAATTGTTGATATTTTGCTTTTCTGTTGCCTGTAGGGGCCCAAGCACTTGGGCCATCTTCTACTGCTTTCCCAGGTCATAGCAGAGAGCTGGGTTGGAAGTGGGGCAGCCAGGACTCCAACCAACGCCTATATGGGATACTGGCACCGCCGCCGGCTGCTTTAACAGATACACCACAATGCCAGCCCCAGTATTTGTCTTTCTTAAAGCATCTGAAAGGAAGCTGCAGATATTATGACACTTCTACAACACTTCAACAACAATTTTCTAATAGCCACTCTCCAACATAACTACAAATTATTAATTATACATAAGTGAATATCAACAAACTTATCGACGGTTCATTAGTTATTCCACAGCATCCGCTTTAATATACAGTTCAATGTTTCTCAATTGTTCCACAATATCTTTCTTTTTTTTTTTTTAACTTTTATTTAATGAATATACGTTTCCAAAGTACGAATAGTGGATTACTATGGCTTCCCCCCCATACCGTCCCTCCCACCCACAACCCTCCCCTTTCCCACTCCCTCTCCCCTTCCATTCACATCAAGATTCATCCACAATATCTTTCATAGCCGTTTATTTGGCGGGCGGGGAGTGAAGGGAATAACCTTTTATCATTAATTTCAATCCTTTATACAAAAGGACATGACTTCCCTCGCAAGTCACTTTTTCGCACATTGAAGCAAAACACATTTCATAGCAGCTCAGAAGTTTGAGGTTGCGAGATTAAATTCAATCTGACCTCTAGTAAAGATTGGTGTTGAGGCTAGCAAAGTTAATAGCCATCCTCAGGCAGGGGTCCTCAGTTGCCACCAGAGGGCGCAAGACGCCGCCGGCGCGACCCTAGGTGTACTCGGAGGGCTGGCGGACGCGGCGCAAGGCTCCGAGCCAGGAGCGCGCCGCGGAGGGGCGCGGGAGCGCGTCTGGTTGCCCCCTGCCCTCGGCGGGGCGCGCGGGGGCGCGCATGCGCGGCTCCGCGGCGGCGGCGGGAGCCGCGATGGAGGGCGCTCTCCCTGCCCGCCAGGTAAGCCGGCCTCGGTGGCGCGGGCTCCCCAGCGTCGGTTTTGCCGGGTGTTTTTCCTCACGATGGTGCTCTGAACCTTCTCAGATGAGGATAGTTAGTTCCTCCTGTCTCCTTTCTGGGCGCTCTTTGGAGGTGCTGGGAAAGTTGTCGCCTGGGAAACGTTTCCTGTGCTTCCCCGAAGCTGTCCCCTGTGGGCAGAGGTGTGAACGTCTGCTTCCCTCAGGGGGTGCGGGGTGCTTGGCTTTGGTCCCGTTAGTCTCGGTGCAGGTGTGTCAGACTGCGCCCCACTGTCAGGATTCCGACCCAGTACCCCCCTCTTCGCCTCACCTTAGCCCGGGCTAAGAGGCTCCAGATAGTTTCAATCCCTTTGCGGTGCAGCGAATTTTTTCATTTCGGCTAGATTTGTCATCTGTTGGCTCCTTTATTTGATGAAATGGGAAATTGCTCATTAATCTTCAGGATGAGACCGGAGGCTTTTGCTGCAGGAGTCCCTGTGTTTCTTAACAGTGCCCGCCTCACTTTGGCGTTGACTGTGGGTGCATAGTTTGCTTTCGGAGAGCTACAGTCAGTGCTGCAGCATCTGAGTAGCATTTTGCTTCAAGGAACGGTAGAGACACTCAGATGACGATCCAATGAGCAAATGAACAGATGTAGTAGTTCAACGGATAGCCTGGACATTACTATGAAATACACAAGACAGAGATTCATGAACCCAACCAAATCCTTCATTCTATGTCCCTGCCTCTGCAGGTGCAGGATGGAACCCGAGCCGCAGAGATACCATCCCTGCTCTCAATGAGCTTGTTTGTCCAGATTAGAGAGAATCACTACCCCACTGTAGAGTGGAGGAAGCACATTTGGAGAGGTTGAGCGATTTTGCCAAGGAGCCCACAGCTAGTAAGTTAGAGAGATAGGAATCTGTTGTAGCCACCCTGGGGAGCCAGATGTGGAGTCAGATGTGGAAGTTGGTGATGCCACACAGACACTGTGAAGATATGAAGAGATGTGTCACTTCATCTGGGAGGAGCAGGACAGTCTTTCAAGAGCCAGGAAAGAAGACTGGCTCCTGATTTTCATTGTAGTTAGCAGGTGTGCAGGGTGAAGTTTCCTGTGTGTGTACAGGGCTTACCTCTCCCACACACACCGAAGGAGCAAGCACCCGCACACATCCTTATCAGCTTGCCCAGATGAAAGACAGAGGAGGAAGAGGAAAGGTGAGGCTTAAAAGTTGTCAGCAGGCAAATATAGAAAACTCAACAAGCCATTTTTCATTTAGTTGACTTCGACCTTGTTTAAGTAAGCCACTCTGTCTCCTTGTGAGGCCTGTTGCCTGAAACCAATAAGGAAGATGCAAGTTCTATTGAAAGCCTTGTTCAAAGCCCAAAACTGTATTTTGAGAGAGAAAATGAATGCCTAGGTCAGCACTGTCAGTGGTGTTTGGAACTCTGCTGGGGATAGGCTGTCTTGGTTACTCTTGTGTTATGGCTTTAGTGTATTTACAGACAGGTGTGACCTTGACTTATATTTTGGATACTGAGGAACGAGAGTCCCAGAGCTCTTATCCCAAAGGGGACAACTCTCAGGCCCAAGAGTCTGTTAACAGTGTGCTGATGGAGCCGGTTGTCGGCCAGAGTATCAGCACTAACATGACTTCCTGAAGTTCAGCCATTGTGCTGCTCCTTGGGTCAGATCCTATAACATCTGGGTTACGTGGTTAAAAAAACAACAGGTCTCCAGTGAGCTCCATTGCATGAATTCTGTCCATAAAGTATCAAAGCTCCCATTGCTATTCAAATTGCGGAGAGGTCCAGGAAGGGTGACCTGTTCTGACACCATGGCATCTGCCTGTTCAACGAAGACAGGGGTGCCATAGCCTCGTGCAGATGAGATATGCCAAGAGGCATGGATTTGAGCTCTATCCTGGAGTCAGGAGGCCTTGGGGTCATGCTGAGCTTGCAAAGTAGTGCTTCTGTGATCCAAGACACAGTGGGCAGTTTGGTATGGAGGGTCTTGGGGCCAGGGCTGCGAGAGCCTCTGTTTCCAGGAAAACTCAGAATTCTTTTTTTTTTTTTTAACTTTTATTTAATGAATATAAATTTCCAAAGTACGATTTATGCATTACAATGGCTTCCCCCACATACCGTCCCTCCCACCCACTACTCTCCCCTTTCCCACTCCCTCTCCCCTTCCATTCACATCAAGATTCATTTTTGATTATCTTAATATACAGAAGATCAGCTTAGTATACATTAAGTAAGGATTTCAACAGTTTGCTCTCACACAGAAACATAAAGTGAAAAATAATAGATGATTTTTTTTTAAATGATGATGAAATCAGATCAGACCTATTGTCATGTTTAATCCCAGTGAGAGTCAAGTGGGAGTTGATAATTTCTCTCTATGTGTTTCTATCTTCTACAGAAGGAATCAGTTTAGTATACATTAAGTAAAGATTTCAACAGTTTGCACCCCCATAGAAACACAAAGTGAAATATATTGTTTGAGTACTCGTTATAGCATTAAATCTCAATACACAGCACATTAAAGACAGAGATCCTACATGAGGAGTAAGTGCACAGTGACTCCTGTTGGAAAACTCAGAATTCTGACAGTTATTGCTGCTCTGGTGGGATTTAGGGTATGGCCAAGGAGATAGTTTTTTACATTAGAAACTTGTACTATATGTGGATATTGTGAGTGGTCTAGAGATTCAAGAGAAGGGGTTGCAAATGCCTTTATGTGAAAGAGTCTCTTTCTCTCATGTATGTGTGTTTTTTGAGTGTGAGGTGGGGATATACTAATGGGAATGTCTTGGGAAGATTCTAGAGCTTTTTGTTTCCCTTAGGAGTCTGCATAAAGGATGCATGATTTGAAAGTAACAACCTAAATGGGCTTAACTAGAGTTTGTAAATGGGGATTCGACTGCCTTGGGAACCCATAAAGGCCTAACCTTGTTAGACTTAAGATTGTGGATGCTAAGAGGGGCAACAGCTGTTGCTTGACAGTGTCAGGGCTGTACCCTTTTCAGAAATGAAACCAAGGTGATAGGCCTTCCATTACCAAGGGACTTCAGACACTTCATTAAAAGATAAAAAATATAAACGTATTTCTACCCATAAGCTCCATCAAGTTCCAGACACCTTGTAACTAGTGATCCCAGACATTTAGTCCAGTCCTAAAGAAGCAAGGATCCAGGGAATTCCATGTCAATGCAGTCTTTTTCACATTATTAACTAAAAAAAATCAGTACCCTTTGGAGATTTTTTTTTTAAGATTAGGAAAGAAGACAAGTCATTAGGAGCCACAACAGGAGTGTAAGGTGGGTGCCTAATAAGCTTCCAGTGGAACTCTCCTGAACTTGCCCTTGTTTGATGAGAGGAATGAGCAGAAACACTGTTGTGGACAAGGACTCTCAGATGAAGCTTTCCCAGGCATTTTTCTGCTAAAGCTTTGGCTAGATTTCTCTAAACGCTCAGCACTCTCAATGACCTTTGTTCTTGACTGATTCACATACGCTTTGGCAGTATGACTTCCGCCTCTTGGTATCCATTCCCTTGACGATGGCTTCGCTGTAGGTCTGTACTGGTAAAGCCCTGTTTCATCTCCTGTTAGAATTCTTTGAAGAGATGCTGTGGGATCTGGATGCCGCCTGTTTCAAATTTCCATTGAAGGCTCTGCTCTTGTCTGCATCTGCAGCTGGTGTGGTTATGACAGTTTTCACACGCGCTAAGCAAAAAGCTGACTCCACTTTAATTTTTCCATCAGAATGTATAAGCTGAACCAATTGAGATGTTTATGGTTTGACTGTTGTTTCTGCTCTGTGGTCCTCTTAAATTAAGGCATGAACAAGATTAATTTTTACGTTGCAAATTGATGTGAATGGTCTGTTGCTGCAGACTCCATCCTCAGTATCATCACGTCCCTTCCTTTAAAAAAAAAAATGTAAAAATGTATTAGAAAGGGATGAGGGAGGGAGAGAGAGAAGGAGGAGCAAGAGGAGCAGGGAAAAGGAGGGGAGAAGAAGAATGAGGGGGAGAGGGGAGGAAGAGTGCATCCCTCCCCTGGTTCACTCCTGAAATACCAACAATGGCCAAGGTTGGATGGAACCGAAGCCTGAGGCCTGAAGCCAGGAGTGCAATCCAGATCTCCCACATGGGTGCAGGAACCCAGTATCCTGAGCTGTGACTTCTGCCTCCCAGTGTCTGCATCGTTGGAAAGTTTGAGTCATGAGTTGAAACTGGGAATCTAACCCAGGCACTTCACTGTGGGACACTGGAGTCTTAACTGCTAAGTTAAATGCTCTTCCCCTTCTTAATGATGGCTTATCCATTTGTAAACTGTTGATTTCTTTGGGGACATTGTTCCCATAAACTTTTAGTAAAGGATCAGTGATTTTGCCATTCTTCCACTCAAGCTTCATTGTAAATTTGGTGTTTGTTCTTATGCCAATTGTAGCACAATTCACGTTGCTCTGATAGGGGCTCTTTTCAAATTGGTGTCTTGTCTTTCTTAGTTCTCCCATGTTATAACACATTAGTATGAGTTTATTTTGTTGCAAAAATATTTTGAATTCCATGCATAAGCTTTTTCATAATACCCATTTTCTATGAACCTTTTGAAGACCCCTTGTGTTTGTGGGGCAGTGGCTTATCCCTTTTTGTGATTGCCTGCATGAGTATTTCTAAGTCCTGAATGAATGTTTCAAAAGACTCTTCAAGGGAAGCTATTGTCCATGAAAGGTCATACCTGTGCTCCTGGAGAAAACTGTGCGCAGGTAAGATCTTGCCTGTAACGGCTGTGTACAACGGCAGGGTGGTTGAGGGACTCTGTGGGTCGCCAGCTCTCTAGATGTGAAGGCATATTGTAGCTGAGAGGTTGTTAAATGAGGCACTGAACTGATCATAGCCAAGTCTGTAATAGCAAGATGTTTACTAGTTGCTGATTGGATAGTCAGTAATTTCAAGAGTATTAGGGCTTTTTCTGGGTAGAACTGCATCAGAGATGCAGTAATCAAGGGTGAGAAGTGCATTCTTTCCAAGTTTAACAGGCCAAAATGGGCAGTTAAATGGAGAAGCAGCAGGGACCATCATTCTCTCACTAATTAGAACTTATCTGTTTCAGCCCTTGAAGGCCCTTTTGCATGTTTACTGGGCCAAATTATTTTTACTAGAGGTTGAGAGTGGTGATCCATGGAGTCTCACATTTTAAAAAGCCAATTTGTAAATTCTAAAGACTTGATTTAAATTTATTTTATTGCTCACTGGATTTGAGTGTCTGTGGCTGCCATGGTGTATTTTGGAACAATGTATACTATGACCATGGAGAATTTAGGGAGGCGATAGTTCTGATAAGGTGAGGCATGCATATTTGTTGGCTGCTTTATGTTAAGTAACTCCCATAAGACTAGGGGTCCCCTTGTTTGAGCTTACTGGGATCTCCAGGTGTAACTTTAATTCGAGTCTCAGTTTTCATCAAAGCCCTAAAGATTTGCCAACTGATACCTTTCAATAGATGTTGAAGTTAATTTGGAAGCTATGTTGTAGAGGCACAAGAGCCACTCTTTTATTGTTTGTTGTATCCATTATTTTTAATAAATTATATATTTCCTTTTATTTTATTTTTATTTGAAAGACACAGTCACAGAGGAGAGAGACAGAGAAAGAGAGAGAGAGAGAGATCCTCCATCTGTTGGCCCGCCTCTGAAATGACCACAATGGCTGGAGCTGGGCCAGGCCAAAGCCAGGAGACTCTTCTGGGTCTCCCACATGGGCACAGGGGCCCAAGCAGTTGGGCATTCCTCCGCCACCTCCCAGGCACATCAGCAGGGAGCTGGATCAGAAGTGGAGCAGCCAGGTCTGGAATTGGTGCCCATATGGGATGCTGGCATCACAGGTAGAGGCCCAACCTGCCCTGCTATGCCACAACACTGGCCCCAGTTAATTGTATTTTCCTTTTTTTTTTTTTTTTTTTTTTTTTTGACAGGCAGAGTGGACAGTGAGAGAGAGAGACAGAGAGAAAGGTCTTCCTTTGCTGTTGGTTCACCCTCCAATGGCCGCCGTGGCCGGCGTGCTGCAGCCGGCGCACCACGCTGATCGGATGGCAGGAGCCAGGTACTTATCCTGGTCTCCCATGGGGTGCAGGGCCCAAGCACTTGGGCCATCCTCCACTGCACTCCCTGGCCACAGCAGAGAGCTGGCCTGGAAGAGGGGCAACCGGGACAGAATCTGGCGCCCCGACCGGGACTAGAACCCGGTGTGCCGGCGCCACAAGGTGGAGGATTAGCCTAGCGAGCCTCGGCGCTGGCCCTGTATATTCCTAACTATGTCAAATTATAGATTCCTGTTTCAGTTTTCTTTGTTTCCTTCATCTGTGTCCAGTTTTTTTTTTTTTTTCCATCTTTTTGGTGATCACTAATTTTCCTTGGAGGATATCTTCTCTACCTGCTCGTATTTACAGATTTCTCCCTCCCAATAGCCTAGAATCAAGATAATCAGAATTAGGAGTTTCCCCTATAGCAATGGTTATAGGATTTAAGAACCCTGGGCCTAGGTGGGATTGACCCAGCCCTTTACTATACCAGGGAGGGTGCCATGGATACCTTCCCCTATAACACTTAGATCTTTGTTACATCTGAAGCATACCTGTAGCAGCAGCAGCAGCAGCAGCAGTATTTAAGAGTCCTGGAGAGACATGTGCTCTTATAATGGTTGTTTACCTCTCCCCCCATTTTCCTTTTAACTCCGTAGTGACAGCTCCTTCATGCATAACCACCCAGTGGGCCCATATCTTGCACAGAATATAATTATTGCTCTGAGCACCTTGTGAGTTGGGGGCCAATGCCTGATTGACACATCTGATTCATTCATTTTATCTTCACTGTTTGTATCAGAGTTTATTTACTAATTTCTCTATCAATAGAGAGTGAGGTTATTTCTACTTTCTTGGTATTACAAACATTCTTAACTCCCATCTATGCATTAAATCTCTGAATTGTAGAAAATGCCTATCTTAGATATCATTGTGTTGTTTTTTTTTTTTTTACAGGCAGAGTGGACAGTGAGAGAGAGAGACAGAGAGAAAAGTCTTCCTTTGCCGTTGCCGTTGCCGTTGGTTCACCCTCCAATGGCCGCTGCTGCTAGCGCGCTACAGCCGGCGCACCACGGTGATCCAAAGCCAGGAGCCAGGTGCTTCTCCTGGTCTCCCATGGGGTGCAGGGCCCAAGCACTTGGGCCATCCTCCACTGCACTCCCTGGCCACAGCAGAGAGCTGGCCTGGAAGAGGGGCAACCGGGACAGAATCCGGCGCCCCGACCGGGACTAGAACCGGGTGTGCCGGCGCCGCAAGGCAGAGGATTAGCCTAGTGAGCCGCGGCACTGACAATCATTAGGGTTTGAAATTGTTCTGCAAAGTGATTGTACCAGTGGACACTCCTATTACGTTGTATTTTTAATGTTTAAATTTTTGCTCAAAAAGATATTGAATTTCTGGACAACTAAACTATTCAACAAATAGTAGTATTTGAAAAATATTTGTATGTATAAATGATGTACCACAGAAGCAAAAACATAGAAATTACTGTCTGAGTGAAAGTTTAAATATTGTCCTTTTAAAATGAAAGTGTATGGGACCGGTGCTGTGGCACAGTGGGTTAACGCCCTGGCCTGAAGAGCTGGCATCCCACATGGGCACCGGTTTGAGACTCAGTTGTTCCACTTCCAATCCAGCTCTCCGCTATGGTCTTGGGCCCCTGCACCCAAGTGGGAGACCTGGAAGAAGCTCCTGGCTCCTGGCTTCGGATTGGCGGCCAATTGGGGAGTGAACCATCAGATGGAAGACCTCTCTCGCTCTGCCTTCCCCTCTTTCTGTTTAACTCTGACTTTCAAATAAGTAAATAAATCTTTAAAAAAATGAATGTGTATGTTCTGAAGACTAACTCTTTTCTTTTTAAAATGGACATTCTCAGTGAGTAATTTAGTGTTTGATGCTTGCTTCCAGGTAGTTAATGAAGGGGATTCAAGCCGTGCCACTGAGTTACAGGAAGAGGCAGAGGAAACTCCTAGTCCAGCTGCGGAGGAGAATACTACCACAGTGTCAACTAAAAAGCAGGGGCCAAATCTGCATTCCTGGAGTGGTGACTGGAGCTTTTGGGTAATATGTTTTCTTTATTTATAGCTTCATTTTAATATTGCATGCAGATTCCTTTTAAGTCTACAGCAATTCATGAGCTATTTATACAATCGTATTAACTTCGAGAGTTCTAGATGGTTAGGTTTTAGTCAAGAGTCTCCACAATGTTTCTGATCATGCTTCCTTTTGACCACTAGAATGCACTGTTGTCTGGTTTCATGGAGTCCAATTATATGCTTCAATTTCCTTTTCAGAGAATTATACTACAGAATAGGATTCCAGTTACACTGCACTTAACTTTATTGATGAGAGATTAGCTTTACACGGAAACTGTATTTCTAAGTGTTACTGGAAAGCTAGCTATTTTATGTAATTTTGATTAAAAAAAGTTAGTTCCTATACATAAAAGCAAGTTTAATAATGCTTGACCTGTAGTGTATAATGACTATAAGATGGGTTTTTAAACAAGCACTTTAGTATTCTGTTTGCTCTGTGCTCACCTGGTTGCATATGCTTCAGGTTTTCCCACTGTAAAAGGAGGCTACTGCTTAAGGGTTAGGCACATTAAAATCATAGAGTATTTTTGTAAGAACCTTTCTGTTGGTCGGCGCTGCGGCTCACTAGGCTAAATCCTCCGCCTTGTGGCGCAGGCATATCGGGTTCTAGTCCTGGTCGGGGCACCGGATTCTGTCCCGGATGCCCCTCTTCCAGGCTAGCTCTCTGCTGTGGCCAGGGAGTGCAGTGAAGGATGACCCAAGTGCTTGGGCCCTGCACCCCATGGGAGACCAGGATAAGCACCTGGCTCCTGCCATCTGATCAGCGTGGTGCGCTGGCCGCAGCGTGCCGGCCGCGGCGGCCATTGAAGGGTGAACCAACGGCAAAGGAAGACCTTTCTCTGTCTCTCTCTCTCACTGTCCACTCTGCCTGTCAAAAAACAAACAAACAAACAAAAAAACACCTTTCTGTTACAGTGTGAATACTAGTGTTTATTAAAGTACTCTTCCTAAACCTAGAAATTTCAATGAGAATTACAAACCGTTTGATATAATCAGCTGTAATACAACTAACTATAAGTGAAGTTTATAAAAGATTATTAGGCATATGTAATTCCAATATTATTTCATTAGAAAGCTGATTTCTTGAGGATTAAGTATGCTTGGCAGTAGGTTTTCCTATAATTTTAGAGTAGATTTAAAAAGACATAATGTTGGAGCCAGCAGTGTGACTTAGTAGGCTAAGCCTCTGCCTGCAACACTGGGATCCTGTATTGGCGCTGGTTTGTGACCCAGCTGCTCCTCTTCTCATCCAGCTCTCTGCTTTGGCCTGAGAAAGCAATAGAAGATGGCCCATGTGCTTGGGGTCCTGCACCCACTGGGATACCCAGAGGAAGCTCCTGGCTTCTGGCTTCCGATCGGCCCAGCTCCGGCCATTGTGAACATCTGGGGAGTGAACCAGCAGATGGGAGGTCTTTCTCTCTTTTTCTCCCTCTCTCTGTCTGTAACTATGCCTCTCAAATAAATAAATAAAATATTTTTAAAAAGACATAATATTAAGAGTATAAATATTAAGAATATGTGCCACCATTCTCTTCATAATTAGCAGTTTAGTTCATTGGAATATTATTAAATCTTAACATGATTAGCCAGGTCTGACTTCCTGTTAAAATTTAACATTATAAATTGAACCATGTCCTAAAGAGAATATTTAATCATGAAGAAATACACCAAAATATCCAAAAAATCATATCATGTCATGATTGAGTTATATCATGTCACACATTTAGAAAACGTTTATGACTATTGTAGTATTTTTGGCTCTTCTACATGGTGATATTTTTTATGGCTTCTGTTGTTTAGGGAACTGTTTGTTACAGCTCCAAGGGTTATCTACAGGGTTATATAGTTATTGTGATTACTCTTGGCAGAATTAGAGCAAGAAAGAAGAGTAACTCAAGAGGAGGAGCTAAGAAAGAAATGGGAAAATTTAGAAATAGGAGGAGAAAGAAAAGAAGAGGCAAGCGTTGTTATTACTCAAAGTATAGTATGTGGGGCCACAGGTTGAGCATTATCAGCTGATTAGAATCTTGGGCCTAGATCTACTGATCAGAATCTTCATGTTTCACAGGATTCCAAGTGATTTGCAGATACAGTAGTAGGGAAGCACTGGTGTCTTAAGTTTACTTTGGCTCATTTTAAGTCTCTGAGATATTGTAAACACTTTATTGAATTCTTTGAAAAAATTTTTTAAAATTTTATTTGAAAGAAGAGGGGAGAGAGAGAGAGAGAGGGAAGGAAGGACACACACACTCACACTCACATCGAGGGATAGCTTTCATCAGCTGGTTCACTCCCCAAAAGTCCACCACAGCCAGGGTTGTGTCATGTTTTACCTAGGAGCTAGGACATTAGTTTGGATCTCCCACATGGGTGGCAGGGGCTCAAGTACTTCAGGTAATGACCTGATGCCTTCCAGGAGGCAGGATTAGACATGGAGTGGCCAGGACAAGAACCAGTCACTCCAATATGGCATGCGGGCATTCCAAGTGATGGCTTGAAGGCTGTACCACACACCCTCTGGAAGGAATTCTTATATGAATTCATATAGAATAGACCTAAAGTAGACTTAAAGACAAATACAACATCTCAGAAGTTTTACAGACTTTTCCAGAGGCCATTTACTCCAAAACCAGAACCATCAAGAACTCAGAAGCAAATTGAAAAAAAGGAACTGCATCAACAAAGTCAGATTTCATATCTCAAATCTTGAAGTTTCCTTAATATATTTTTGCCATGTTTTTTGTAAGCCTACATAAGTTGAATAGAATACTTAATGGTAATACATAATTGCAAATAATGACAGCAGAAGTTTAAAAAATGTAGAAACCTTGTCCTTTTAATATGGAGGTCTATGCAGCTAAGTTGACTCTAACAATATTACAGCTGAGAAAAATGATGTTCCAGCAGTCTGAAAATGAGTAAATGCATTTAATATTGGCCATTTTATTTATTTTTAATTAATTTATTAGGCAGAGAGACAGAGAAAGAGAAAGACAGACAGCTAGAAAGGGAACTCCCATCCAGTGGTTCACTCCCGAAATACCCAAAGCTGCACCAGGAACCAGGAATGCAATCTAGATCTTTCACATGGATGACGGGAACAAAATTCCTTAAGACATCACCATTGTCTCCTAGAGTCTGAATTAGCGGAAAACTAAAGTCAAGATCTGGAGCCAGTTATGGAATCCAGGTATTCCAAGATGGGGCACAGGCATTTTAACTGGTAGCTTAAATGCTAAGCTAAATGCCTGCCCCTCTACCACTTTAAATCCACCTGCTTCTCCCACTGACTCTACCATTTTATTTACTTTTTGTTCTCCTTGCAATAAAGTGGGAATTGCATGAATATAATAAGATGGCAGAGTTCTCTAAGGAACTCCAAATTAGCACAAGGAAGACCTGTGGTATAACACAAAAATATTAGTGAGGCACATGACCTGGTATTTAAGCAAATATTTAAGAATGTCAGAGCCATTTCAATGGAATATCCAATGAATCTGGAACTGTGCCTTTTTTTAAAAAAAAAGATTTATTTGAAAGAGTTATGGAGAGAGAGGGAGAGATCTTCCATTTACTGGTTCACTCCCCAGATGGCTACAATGGCCAGGCCTGGGCTAGGCTAAAGCCAGGATCCAGGAACTTCATCCAGATCCAGGTCTCCCACATGGATGGCAGGGGCTCATATACATGGGCCATCTTCTGCTGCTTTTCCGAGGCCATTAGCAGGGAGCTGGATTGGAAATGGAGCAGCCGGGAAATGACTGGAGCCCAAATGGGATGGTGTTATCACAGGCAGTGGCTTTCCCTGCTATGCCACATTGCCAGCCCCTTAGAGCTGTGCCTTTTTATTTTAGGTAGATTTCTACCAAAATGATTGGCAGCTTATAAAGTTTTGGTATTTAAAGAGTTAAGTTTTGGAAATCTTGAAAATTCACTAATGTAGAATAACTCATGTATTCTAGCCTGGTTAAATCAGTTGTTTCATGGTAATGCTTTCAGAGGACAGCATGATATCACTGAATGATTTAGAGATTAGAAGCAAAACATTTGGAATGGATTGTCTGTCCCTGGTGATTTTTCTGTGCAGTGATCTTGAGCATGTTGTATAACTTGTCTGACCTCAGTTACCTCACCTATAAAATTAGAGACTGAATCACAGTATTACAACACTGGTGTGTCTTGAACCAGTCATAATCTCATGCTGTTTAACAGATTGGCTAATACGTGTGTTTTTGTCAGCAAGACTTTAAGAAGATTCAGACTTCATAGTTATTGATAGTGAAATCAACAGCTTCAGATTTTCTGTTTTAATTCTGTAATATAAATATAGGATACTTGTATTTTATCTATTTAAAAATTAAAATATGTAATATGCATGTGCAAAATAAATTTTCTTAACTATTTAACCCCAATAAAATAATAAAAATTATGTGAAATGAAGAAATTAAAATAAAGTTAATGGGGCAGGTATTCAGCATAGCAGTTAAGAAGCTGCTTGTGACATCTGTACCTCATATTGGAGTGCTTGGGTTTGAGTTCTGGATCTACTTCTTTTTTAATTTTACTCAAGGTATGTAAATTTCTTATTTTTATTTTATTTTTATTTTTTGACAGGCAGAGTGGACAGTGACAGAGAGAGAGAGAAAGGTCTTCCTTTTTGCTGTTGGTTCACCCTCCAATGGCCGCCGTGGCCGGTGTGCTGCGGCCGGTGCACCGCGCTGATCCGATGGCAGGAGCCAGGTACTTATCCTGGTCTCCCATGGGGTGCAGGGCCCAAGCACTTGGGCCATCCTCCACTGCACTCCCTGGCCACAGCAGAGAGCTGGCCTGGAAGAGGGGCAACCGGGACAGAATCTGGCGCCCCGACTGGGACTAGAACCCGGTGTGCCAGCACCACAAGGCGGAGGATTAGCCTAGTGAGCCGCGGCTCTGGCGTAAATTTCTTATAAAGAGTTTTAGGAACAT